TAAATGATCAGGATGAAAAAAGAAATCGATTAAGCCATGTCTGTCTGTCCGTCCGTCTGTCCGTCTGTCCGTGTACACGATAACTCGAGCAAAAATTGAGATATCTCAACGAAATTTGGTATGTAGGTTTCTCTTAATCCAAGGTAGGTTGGTATTGAAAATGGGCGAAATCGGACTTTAACCACGCCCACTTCCCATATAACGGTAATTTCCAGAAATACGAAAACTGCGATATTTTAGTAACTACTGAAGATAATTCACTCAAAATTGATATTTACAATAATTTGTAGACGAAAAATAAGAATATTATAAATTTTTGGAAAATGGGCGTAGCCACGCCCACTTATGGTTACATGTGTATATCTTGGTAACCGATGCACCAATTTCTTCCAAACTTGGCACAGTTGTTGGCCTTCGCATAACATACCAAATGGCCGAAAATTTTTAAAATCGCTCAATAACCACGCCTACTTCCCATATAACGGTAATTTTCAGAAATACGAAAACTGCGATATTTTAGTAACTACTGGAGATTATTCACTCAAAATTGATATTTATAATAAGTTTTAGACGAAAAATAAGAATATTATAAATTTTTGGAAAATGGGCGTAGCCACGCCCACTTATGGTTACATGTGTATATCTTGGTAACCGCTGCACCAATTTCTTCCAAACTTGGCACAGTTGTTGGCCTTGGTACAGCATAAAAAACCGCCGAAACTTTTTAAAATCGGACAATAACCACGCCCACATCCCATATAACGGTAATTTAGAGAAATACAAAATCTTCGATAAATCATTAAATATTGAAGCTAATTTATTCAAAATTAATGCTTGCAACAATTCTTTACCAAGAAATACGTTTATGGTAAAATTTTGGAAAATGGGCGTGGCACCGCCCACTTATGATCACATATAAGTATATCGGTAACCGTTCTACCAATTTGTACCAAACTCGGTATGGTTATTGTACTTGCCACGTGTAAGCAAAACGTTGAAAATTATTGAAATCGGACTAAAATAACGGCCGATTCTCATATAACGGTAAATTTAAGAAATGCTTGAAACTTCAATATTTCGAAATTGAAGGACGCTAATTTACTCAAAATTGATACACCTCGGCTTACCATCTAGCGGAAGGTTTCGGAAGGGTGAAAAAACATATATTTAATACTTGCGCCGGGTATTTAATGTTCGGCTCCGCCCGAACTTAGACTTTCTTACTTGTTTCAATTACTTCTTGTGTTGTAATCGGCACATCATTATGTACCGCTAACATCGTTAGACCATTCAGCCGCTCCTTAATTGTATAAAAAGAAGGGACAAATAAGATAGCATATTCAACAATGGAGTAGTCCACTTGCAAAGTGCGCTATGTAATTTTTTTTTAGATTTCTAGTTTTTGGTGGGTTTCATGTCCACTAACAGCAGAGTGAAAAATTTTTCTATATTCTGAAAAAAATAGCATGAAATGTTAACTACTCTTGCAAAAGTCGCTATAATACCAATTTATACACTTTCAAATGTCTCCTCTTCGTATGAACTTAGAAAACTGCAAGAAAACGTGGTAGTTTCGGTGCCTAGTGGAAGAGGTCGCAAAAACGAAGCAAACCAATCTTCCTAGAGGAGAGAACGCGAAAAGCAAAAAAAAGGTAGCTATGTAAAAGTTACTGTTTCAAAACTTGCAATATTAAATTTTTAAATATAAAATTTGTAAATCTACCATACTGCAATTTAATTTTTTTAATGGTATTAGGCTCTTATTTATCCAAATTTTCAGGTAATAGGTACAGTTCGGATGTTACTTGTTGTCGTAGACGTTTTTTTTAAATTTACGGTTTACTTTTATAAAATCACATAACGCTGTTTGCAAGTGGACTACGTACTCATATCTTCATTAAAAGATAATTTGTCATCCGTCTGGAATAAAAAAAAAATTTAAATCAGAAGGACAAAATAGTATTGTGTTATTAATTATATTCAACAATTTATATTGGGCTCGAGGCCGTTTTTAAACGAAAATTTATTGTGGAAAAGCAACGATAATTTAAAAAAATTGTAGAAGAATGATAGCTATTTCGGAAATCACCACATTTCCTCATCAGACTTCTTTCAGTAGGATTCGAACCGACGATCCCACTGACTCAGCCAGTTGCCTATGCACCGTTTGATTTTTTCCACTATTTTCATTTTTGTTATGCCAACACAATCAAGCGCAGCTATTCCGCTGCAATTCACTTGATCATGTGGTTGTTGGTATTGTTGGTTTTTGCTAATAATTATATTTTTAGAATGTTTAACGTATAGGTGTGCTCGTCCTTAAGTTATTTGTTTTTTGTTATTTTTTTGGCCTTTTATAACAATTATATTCAACAATTTATATTGAGCTCGAGGCCGTTTTTAAGCTCAATATAAATTGTTGAATATAATTGTTATAAAAGGCCAAAAAAATAACAAAAACAAATTGTGTTATTAATTCAAAAGTAAATAGTTGTAGTTCAATGATGAAGGGGGGGATCTATCCCCCCATATCCCCGCCCCCCCTTGGCTACGCCACTGGATGCGACAATCGGTCTGTATGACGAAGACCACAAAAGCGAGCTTTTAATCCTACCACGACGTGCAGACGATATGATCATCGGGATGGACGGTCCATACGCTGCCGAGGGGAGTCGTTGACGCCAGAAACGACTGATACGCCTTCAGGGGAGGTCACATGCATTACCGTGGCTGATCAAATTTGCAAGAACCACCAGAAAACTCTGCAACCACCAAATGTGGTCAACCACCCGTTGTACACCGAGATCTTCGAGGTTAAAGAGTTCTTGGGCCTGGAACCAAGCAAGAGGAGAAGATATGGGAAGTACGTGCTAAATCCACTAAATTTCCCAACTAAATGGTGGAAGCCCGAAAGTGGGGAACGGCGGCTACATGAAGTCAACGTCACACCCACCGCTGAAAACATGGTCATACGAAAGACCATCAGAAGAGACTCTGCATGATATTACAGGCCAGACATGTTCCGCGATGTGCGGAAATACGTGAAACGTTGTCAGTCGTGCCAGCTGTATAAACCCAACCAACAGGAAGCAGAGGGGAAATATGTTTACCCAACTGGCGGACGAGCCTTGGGCCACCCTTTTATCTGTCAAATATTGTCGGGCCGCTGCCACGACCAAAACACGGCAACAACTTTTGAGTTTCAAAAAGCACCAAAAATTGGAAAAAAGAGCATTTTACCACACTACAAGCACAACATTTTTTTTTAATCAAAGGATACTTTTTTCATAACAGTTTGTGTTTAACAAAAGTAAAAAAATTAACAATACTTTCAAGTATAAGTAAATACACAAAACTTTTTGCTCCATAATACCGAAGTACTGCACATTAAAACTGGTATATCTGGAGAAAGAAAAATCTAATCGCAACAAACGAAATTGAATTTTAAAGGCGAAGTGTATTTAATACTCAATACCCTAAGTAGAAATGAGCGAAAATAATTATTGTTTTATAATATAACCTCAAGTATCGCGAAGAACCGTGTTTTTACACTTAGCGGTTAGGATACCTCAAAATTCTGACGTGGTAGAGAAATTCTACAGCCAGATTTGGTTTCAGCACCGAACAATCCAAAAGAACCGATGCACTCAGGTGACAAAAAAGTTACAACTTTTCGAACTGTGTAATCAATCAACAAATCAAGAAAATAAAAAAATAAATATTTAACTTACCTGCGTGCTAGCATCTTCAACGCGTTTTTTTGGCGTTTTAATTTTCAAAAAGCACTAAATCTAGCGCTTAAAGCAACAAGTTGGGAACTATGACAATGATACTCTTGTGTTCCACGTCAAATTCTCTAATTGGATAAAGATCGTACCACTCTGGAAGGCGACGCTGAGAGCCTGAGCAAGTCCGGGCACGATTCGGCGTTCCGAAATCCTGGTCACGGATACGGGAGCACAATTCACCAGTCGGGCATTAACCGTCGAGCAATATGGGGTAAGACATCAATTCACCGCTCCTTATACCCCACAATAAAACCCGGCAGAGGGAAGAAGCCGTCACGTACAACGTATTATAGCGAAGTATACTGGCGACGGACTACGGAACTGGGACTACCTGTAATGCTAAAACGCGAGGTGCGACTCTCAAGGCAGTGTACGATGAGACTACTTACGGCACGGGGCAAAACTCGATGACGCCAAACGAGAAGCTTACAATAGTAAAGAAATTGTTAAGTCTGGCGCGTCAAAATTAAAGCGGCATCGGCGGAACAAGCACCACATTGCAATCCACTTAGAGAGCATCCACAATCGAAGGAAGTAGACAACTTCGCGGCAAAGTTAGCCCCGAAATATAGCGTGCCGCACAAAAATTTTATAAAAACCAATTTTTTCCTAAAGAGCTATTATCATGATTGGGTAAATTTGGTACATACACACATAGTATTTCTACTTAAATTGCGTAACTTCGATGATTTTTATCCGAATTCATTGAATAAGGTATCAATTTGTTTGAAAATAAATGTACTTTTATACAAATACTATATGCAATTTGGGAACTCTCATAAAAATGTTTTATATAAGCGATGGTTCAAGTGGAAAAAATTAGGAAAATGGAGGTTTTTTCAAACATTAACCGTTGAAAACTCCCAACAAGCTAAGCCTAACAACATTTTTTTATACATCATTTGAAAGAGATATAAATATCACTTTCAAAATCAGATGAAAAACAGCCAAGCTGTTAACAGATCTGTATATTATGTACGAAAATTACTTTTTTTTTGTAAAAAAATAAGATGGTTCAGGAACAATAAGAGACTTATTTTCATGTTGCATTACCCTACTTACAACCTAAACTAAATTTTGTTTCGGGTGTATTTCGTGATTTTTTTATAGCACCGTGTAATTAAATTATTTCTTTCATATCTACAACATAAAAAATTTTACAGCGTTTATATTCCTTAGGTTTCTCACTATTTATTTATCTATATATTTCAGGTTTTCTGAAGCGATTGCAGTTGGATTATCAAATGCAAGTTAATAACACCGTATCACAATGCAGCTCTTCGCCGCATGAGCAGCAGGAACTGCATTTGCCGCTTCAAAATTCCCATTCATTAGCTAAAGCCAGTTCCACTTATTTCGAATCAAGTCATTTATGGCCACAGCAAATGCATTTTCAAAATTACCAACATTTAACGAAACCAACTTCTGAGTATCGACAACAGCAGAAACATCAACGGCAATACGATGAAACAATAAATAAAAAAGCAGTTAATAGTAAAATAAAGAATTTCCATGTTAGCGTCAACAATAGTAATAAAAATAATGGAATACCTAATGCTTGTGATAGCGAAAACTATGTGAAGCTTATGAGGGCAACAGCTGATCAAGAAGAACAAGATTCGGAGGAACTCTCATCGAAATTCGAATCAGAGTGTACGTCGATTCTAAGCGAACCTTATGGAGAAAGTGATGAAGAAGTTTTGTGCGATGGTTTCGAGCCTGTAAATATTTACAGTATTAAAGACGACAAACAGGTGCCAGAACAATACGTTACTCGAACGAATATGACTCCCTCATATACCACCACAGATGGTTGTAGTAATATTGGACATCATCGACAGAACACTGGTTGTAGTGAGGAGGGAAACACAGAAGCTTTTGATGTAAATACGTACACGGCACAACAACAACATCGAAATTGTCAAAGAGAACACCACACTTGCGATATGACTAAAATAAATTCACAAGTTGATGATACCGAGCATGCCACTTATATCTTTCAAGAGGACGAATCGATGCCGGAAAGAACTGAAAACGATACACTCAGAATATCTGGTTGTCAGCCTTCCACTAAAGTACGATTATTCAGAACAAAACATGATTCAAAAAATATATCTTCACCAAACCCTCAGCACGCATTGAAACATAATACACGAGAGCTCTGTTTGGCGGCATCATCGCCACCTTCCTCGGTTGACGAAGATATCAATGACAGCAGCAGTCAGCACTCAAACGCCATTGGAATGGACGACATCAATTCTTTGGCTAATCCCGTTGACCAAATAAGTAATATCAAGGCAGCTGTAAATGGTTATTTAATCAATGCTTGTTGTTCATGAGCGCATACTATTTATGTAATATTGTCATAAATTTCCACTGGATAACAAGAAGATCCAAATAACTATATATTGCTGATAAATTTATAGTTTAACGTTTTTTGTTTATTTAACAGCATATATGCACTACCAACCTAGAGATGTCAGTGAAGGAAGCAGGAGCCGCAGCAGAGGTAGTAGCGATAGCAATCAGAACAGCACAGTTGACAACGGCACTGATAACAGTAGTATTACCAAAAGAAATATATGCCCGAATGGTAATAGTAGGCAAAAAATAAGGGGAATGACACCTCCGATCATTGCACAATACCACATGCAGTGCGAACTCATACCAAAAACGGCGCAATCATCCAGTTTATATCACGGGGCCGCTAAACCGGTGAACAATATGACTTCACCCTCATTTTACCAAGAGCAGCAACCGCAACGGCAACAGCAACATAAACATTCTTTGAGACTAAGTACAATCACTTTATCGTCGCCTATATTAACACTGCCGCTGCCGCCCCCACCACCAACAATGTCAATGACGACTTTGTCGTCTGCATCAGTGCCTCCAACAACTGGCGAACCAACGACGCTCCATGAAACAGTAGCAGCTACTGCATCGCTCGAACAAGCGTCCGCTTGCAATGCCGCTGCAGCCGTGGCAGTAGCAACTGCGGCAGCAGCTGCAAGCAGTGGCAGCATCAATAGTGCGCCGATGACGCAAAACTTTGGAAGCCTGTTAGATGCAATTAGCGGCAACAGTGGCTGCAGTAACGATAATAGTGATCCAAACGTCATTGCCACAAATTCTACCCCTTCTGGTAGCAACACAAGCACATACAGCCAAAATAAGTACTATCACCCGCTATTTGCGCAAGGAATTTGCCATTGGCCGGGCTGTGAACTAGCTCTTAATGACTTCACTGCTTTCGTTAAGTAAGTAAAAGCGTACATTGGAGTAAAAGGTAGGGTGCAATAACATACGCAATAAGGCCGCATGGTCTTATTTTCCTTTTGTTTTTGAAATACAACATTCAATCCTTCTTGTACTAAAAATTCATATCTGGCAACATGTTTTCTGACATTATTGTCACTGCAATTGTGTAGTTTACCTAGACCTGTAAAAAATCATCAAATTTGGTCGACGCGTCTTAACCCTAAAATGTTTCGAATCCGGGAGCTTAAATTAACTTTTCTTAATATCTCAAAAGTTATCTGTAAAAAAAGCACTTCCAGATTCCGAACTTTGTTTACGTTAATTTCCACTTGTAACTTCTGCCACCCTTAAAGTATGAAAACTAATAACATTCCTTAACAATTATTTTGAGTACTAATAGTAAAAAGAATTATGATTTAATTTTATATATGTATTCGGATATGCATTATGAAATAATTTTACGCTTCAAAAAAATAACACCGGCTTCGTGTTTTGTTTTTTTTTTTAACGAACTCTTTGTTGTGATCAAAATACGTACTTATATGTACATATTAATAATTTTGAATACGGACTATAAGCCAAATGATGAATAGCTTTTGACTATTTTCAAGTTGGAATTTCCTCATTTGTATTAAACATTAAATTGCGCGTTGTAACACAGTATTGAATAACATTTTTCTCTTTGTGATCAGCGATGATAAAGCTAATCATAAAGATATGTTGCTCGTGCGATGGGAAAACTTAACCTATGCTGTCACGCATAAAAGGTATCTAAAACGGGTTTTACATGTAATGGCCTAGGTTTGATAGAGCTTCATACTATTTAAAAACAAGTAAGAGTAGCGCTCTCTTCGGCTATGCCGAAGGCTTCATACCTTTCATGAACATCTAAAAATTTTACTTTAACAGATTACTGCATTTGAAAAAATTTATATATTCACAGCATACATATATAGAGAGGCATATAAAAAATTATATCTAAACAATTAGAGGATATACCTTATATAGCACCAATCTAAGTGACTTTTACTGCTGTGTGATCGGTATGTAAACCGGTAACACAATTTAATGAGTTTAGCTTCCTACATAAAGGAGATATGTTGCAAAAACTGGTATCTGAACAATCAGTGGTATAAGAGATAAAGCTGATATAGCATAGATTTTGACGATTTTCTCAGTAGACCTTGTATTATTATTTATAATTACGAAATTTGTTAGTTTTAGCTGTGAAAATAAAGGAGTTTTACAGTAAAACCCCATATCTGAACAATCAGTTGTATTGAGGCAATGAATACATAGGTTATAGTGACCAGCTCATTGTTAATATTACTGTGAACTTTCTGTTGATAATGAGTGAAAATAATGCGAAATTTCATGTTTCTAGCTGCATATATGGAGAAGTTATAACAAAGAATCTCATATCTGAACAATCAGTTGTATGGAGGCTATAGGTTATAGCGACCCGATCCTCACCATTTTCACTGTAAGTATTTTTTTGATAATGGGTGGAAATATTGCGAAATTTCATGTTCCCAGCTACATAGATGGAGGAGTTATAACAAAAAATAGCATATCGGAACAATCAGTTGTATGGGAGCTATATGTAAAAGCATTAGCGCACACAAGGGGTGGGTTTTGGGGTTCAAACCCCCCTAAAGCTAATAACCTCAAATACAATCTGTATCTTAAAGCTAAGAATCCAGCTCTCAAGGAAATTATAAGAAATATTTATTATACTTTCTGTTGCTTGAAAAAGCGCTTTGCTTTTGCTGTAAATTTTCATGAGAGAATAAATATACGAGCATTTTTTTTCTTGAGTGCTGCAAACTGATTTAAGAAATTTTGGTAGAAGAAAATTTCTTTTCCATTTCTCGTCCGTCGTTTTATATGAATTTTTCGTTTTTCTTGAGAGTTCAGTTAATTTTTTCGGTATTTGAAATATGAAAAAAATTCAGCAATCGTGAAAAATCACCATCTCTATCGAAAACCAGAAATCGAAAAAATGAACATAGAAGTGCAAAAATTCATGGAATCAATAAATT